CATTTTCATTTATAGTGGCATTTATATACACATACATATAGAAGGTGTATGTGAGATATATTCCTTGAGGCTTTTGATAAAACCCCTATCTTTATCCCTAGTTCATTTACAACTAAAGAGAGCAGCATAATGGTAACTTTGAGACTTTCCTTTTGATAATAATTTCCATTATCATTTGAATGGGAGAATTTTTTAGGACATGATTTAGAATCATTTCTAGGATATAAATTTTAGTATAATCTTATTCTATAATGAGACAAAACTGTGTCTTTGTAATAATATGTGATAATTTTAAGCCTATGTTTTAATAGTTATGGACAGAGTTTAATGGCATCCAAAATACTCTATGTCTGTCTGAATTTTTTTCCTGCACTCTTCTTTTTTCTTAAAAGCATGATAGACCCCTCTGCAAATACAGAGCCTTTGATGTTTCTTTGCTGTACTTCGGTACATTGCTGTTTATTCCTTAATCTAGCAGCATCCTTAGTTTGTAGTATATCTTACTTAGTTGCAACTAAAAAAATTGCTAGCCTAGGCATTAACTGGGAGTTTCCATTGGCCAGAAGGTTACTGTGAACCTTTCAGAACAATGGAAAACAAGTAAAAGAGCTGTCTCAAAGACTGTGCCCTCAGAGTTTGTCCACCTCTTACGGTAGACACTCTGGACAGGCATGATACACCCTCTCCTTTATTACATTCCCCCTCCACTTCTAAATTTGCCTCTTCTATCTCCCGCCTTTCCTTCTCCTTCTTTTTTTTTCTCTCCTCCCTATGTCACCCTCCCTCCCCCCCTCCCACCCTCTAATCCTCCTTGCCCGCCTCTTCTATCCTATTGTTCTCTTATACTTCCATTGACACCTTACCATTCACATCGTTCTAACATAATAGAGCGGATATTATGTAAATTACATTTCATGAATTAATTTTTCTCCCCTTTTGAAATAGTGACATATTTGAGCATTCGCCTTTTTCGTGTGTGGGCCTCAACCTCCCATCTGCCCCAACAAAAAATTCAAGTTCACACACATTTTACCATAATTACACATCTAGTATCACCAAAACGTGAGGTTCTCTCTCTCTCCCACAGGTACCCCTGCACCACTTCCATTTTTTTCAGCAGGCCCCTGCCACTCTCTGTCGCACCTCTTGTCATCATTCTCCCAACTTCATCTTTCACGGTCGAATGGGCGACTCATGATTGTCATCAGTGTAAGTATCACAATATTTCTCCTGCTAAATGCAAGTTTAACAGATACTTATGGATGCCAATACCACATATTCTGACAGATAACAGAAACACTAGGCTTTTATAAGATTCTCAGTGTTTTCCCTATATTGCACTTTCTAGATAACACAATTTTAACAATGATATAATGTGATCTTGGTTCTAGACACAGGAGTGGGGAACACATGAATTTACCTTTTTCTTGTTCCTTTTCTTAAAATTTTTGGTATAGTCTCTTTTCAGGAATATTGCAAGCAGAAATAACAAAATATACATGTGCTTTGAGTTTCTGAGGAAAAAAAGACAGGTCTCTTCTACCTTAGCCATTTCATTTTCACAACTGAAAATAAGGAACTGCTGTATATTTGATGTTCCTAACTCATTAAAGATATCATTGCCATAAATGCACTGTTCTGCAGAAAACTTTTTAAAACAGGAGAACAATTTGTACATTTACTAACAATTATACTACATTACCAATCATAATACATTTACCAATTATGAATAAAAAGTACTGAATAAAATTCAGAGTAAAACCATCAGATTAGATTTTACACTCTAAGTGAAATGGGACTTTGAAATGTTAAGATGTAATTACCTCTAATACTATAGCACTCCTGATGCCCTTTTAATTCCTTGATTAATATTCCTTGATAACTTTTTGATCATCGCCACACCTCAAAGAGGAGAACAAAGGTTCTTTTGAGCTTGCTGGCTGTTAATTTTTAATTCTCACCTGTGTGGCTCTGTTTTATACAAAACCATTTATCCTTCATTTTTCTTTTCTATTTTACAGCTGCTTATTCTGCTTGAAATTATTTAGTTAGGAATGGCCAGAATGTATGCCCTGAGTTCATGATATTCTATTGGAAATTGTTAATCTTATAATTTTTTTACATGATACAAATGGTAAACTAGCTCTATAATAATAATAATTTTAAAACTTCTGGGAATACTAAACAAATAACAGGCCAGTTTACCATACTTTACAAAGCAAAGAGCACAATGGTAAAGCAGTAAGCACAGGCTTTGGACAAAAACAAACCAGCCTGGGTTGGAATCCCAGTGCTGCCACTCACTGCCGACTCTATGACTTTTAAGGCAAGTCACTTAATCTTTCTGACCCACTATTACCTCCAAAATAAATTGGGGCTCATTCCACCTACCCTGCAAGTTTTTGTGAGAGTTAGTAGTGAAGTCTGTACATTATTTGGTACATGATAGGTACTCTACAGTAGTTAAAGAATTATTGGCTGAATTCTGAGTTGGGCAATCTGCTGGTCCTACATCTGACATGGAACTCTTTCCAGAGACAGTTTATGAAACTTCTTTTGAATATCAATATGACCAATGTACTTGGTAGGTTTTTTTTTTTTAATAATAACATAGTTTGGGTGTCTTCACCTCCAAAACTAACTTTATTTTACTTTTATTTTTATATTTATATTGAGGTGGAGTCTTGCTGTTGACCAGGCTAAAGTGCAGTGATGGGATCTCAGCTCACTGCAACCTCTATCTCCCAGGTTCATGTGATTCTCCTGCCTCAGTCTCCTGAGTAGCTGGGATTACAGGCCTGCCACAATGCTTGGCTATGATTTTTGTATTTTTAGTAGAGACAGGGTTTCACCATCTTGGCCAGGCTGTTCTCAAACTCCTGACCTCAAGTTATCCACTGGCCTCAGCCTCCCAAAGTGCTCGGATTATAGGCATCAGCCACCATGCCTGGCCTATTTTTATTTTTTGAGACAGGATCTGGCTCTATCACCCAGGCTGGAGTGCAATAGTGTCATCTCAGCTCACTGCAGCCTCTGTCTCCCAGGCTCCAACTATCCTCCCACCTTGGCCTCCTGAGTAGCTGGGACCACCATGGCGTGTACTACCATGCCCATCTAATTTTTGTATTTTTGGTAAAGAGGGGGTTTTGCCATGTTGCCCAGACTGGTCTGGAACTCCTGGGCTCAAGTGATCCTCCCACCTTGGCCTCCCAAAGTGCTGGGATTACAGACATGAGCCACCATGCCCATCCCTATTTTCTTTTAAAAATTTGTTTTTTACAAAATTTATAGCAAGTCTATGTATTTACTGTGCTTTGTGATCATTTTTTTCAATGACCAAAAAATTCCGATTTTGTTAACTTCCATGGTAAAATGATCTAATTTCAAAAATTTGTTCTAAAGCTAAGATCCTTATAACCTATAAATGTGTGTGAATAGTTAGTTGGCAGGTCCTACAAAGACATGTCGTTTTTATTCATGTATTTGGGTTGTTTTAACAGTTCTGTAATATTTAAAATACTTTTGTTATAGCCAGAATTCTCAGCATCTACTCCCATGCCTTCCTTTTTAAATCTATTGGCCAGTTTAAGGGTATTCACAATAATACAACTTAAAGACAAAGTGCCCATAAGTCATTGTTTCTAACAGACAGGATAACACCGTAGAAATTGCCCTGAGCAAGGAGTTAGAAGACTGGAATTCAAGTCCAAATTCTGCCACTAACTTTATAAGACAACCTTAGGCAAGTCACGTCACTTCTCTCATTTGTCAAATAATGTGGATGATACCATTCTAAGTTATTTTCCACCTCTAAAATTGCTTTCATTTACTACTATTATTTTAACAATAATGAAAACACTTTCTGGGAATTGTCTTAAGCACCAGATGGGTAGAGAAGAATTTTTTTTTTTTTTTAAAGACGGAGTCTCACTCTGTCATCCAGGCTGGAGTGCAATGGTGCCAGCTCAGCTCAGTGCAACCTCCATCTCCCAGGTTAAGTGATTCTTCTGCCTCAGCCCCCTGAGTAGCTGGAATTACAGGCGCACACCACCACTCCCAGCCAATTTTTGTATTTTTAGTAGAGACAGGGTTTCACCATGTTGGCCAGGCTGGTCTCAAACTCCTGACCTCATGATCTGCCTGCCTCAGCTTCCCAAAGTGCTGGGATTACAGGTGTGAGCCACCACACCCGGCCAGGTAGAGAAGAATTTACTGCTGATGAAGGTTGTGTTTTTCAACCTGCAATCCAGAGACCCTCAAAATAAAAATTACTTGAGGTTCCTATGAAAAATACAGATTCCTATCCTCTCCGTGGCTGAATCAGAATCTCATAAGGTGAGGCTCAGGTTTCTGCATTTTTCACAAGTCTGTAATGGTTACAATGCACCCTAATGTTTGAGAACCAGTGGCTTAAAGAGAATGCAACCTAAGAGGGCAAGGCTACTGCATAGCTTAAATTGCTGCAGCCTTTGGTAATCCCTCCTAACCACAGTGCCACCCATGTGGAGGAGCCTGGAAGAAAGCTGTTACTCAAAGCAGAACAGTCGGCCTTGTGCTTGGGTCCTGCTTCATGCTTGCCATGTTTCATAACAAAACACAAAGACAAGTCTTCATATCAGCATTTAGTCTTGATATCCAAGTCACTGACTACCGTACTTATGATAACAACTTGAAAAGGACTGCAACTCTCCCCTCACTAATGGTGACAGGGTTGGCTTATGATACCTGGTTCAGGGAAGAAAAATGAGTAAACCTCTACCTCTTTACTCTTGATTCCTCCTCCACCCCAGTACTGTTAACACATCATCCTGTGTGATTCAAATAATCTGGCAGATGAAATACAGAAAATCTAAGTCACATTGTTCTCATCACTCTATGGCCAGATACTGTACTAATCTAATTTTAAAAATCCTTTTCTGGACAATAGAAATAACCAAAGCCCATTCTGTCTCCTTCTTTCCTGTCTAATGCCTTGATAGGAACAAAATACCAAGTAAGGATACATGCTAGAGATGTTAAATTCATACAAGTAAAGTAAATTACAAAGAGAGGTGATAATTTTTTTCTAGAATTTCACAATAAATCCCTCTCATCATGAAAATCTTTTTATAATTTTAACAGGAAACTTAAAAGACATTTTGTTGCAAGACTGTCTTAATGATTAAAAGAATTATGCCATTATCTATGCTCAATATAGATAAACATAACAGCAACTTTAAAAGGCCAGGTATACTCATAAGTGAAGATGAAATTTCTTTTTCAACAACCAATATGCCAATATCCAACTTCCAGGTTTTATTCAACTCTAATGTCATGGGTTTCTCCTACCCCATTTAAAACTCCTGCCAAATGTCCACAAAATTGCCACCAAAATTAAAAAAAAAAAATAACACACAGAAAGAAAGAGAGGGGTAGGGAGAGGGAAAAGAGAGAAATAGAGAGTGAGGAAGGAAGGAACTTGACAAGAGCTACCATGCAAAACGACCAGAAGAACTGGAATTCAGTGGCACAGATAAGCAGGAGCAGAGGAATGCTGAAAAAGATGATGCTGCAGAGTCTAATGTGGAGATGCCTGAAGGATGCCGGATGACCAAGTACTCAGGTCACAAGTGTGTTCATGGACCCATAAGAACCAGGATCTTGACCCAAACTCATAAGATCTTCTAAAAAGAAAATACTTCACCTAAATTGAAGTAATTCCTAAGTCAAACACCAGAAGAGTTCCTTATTTGATGTAAGTTGTGCCTAGAACTTTGGCTGATACAAAGAAACCCGTCCACTAAGGCACCCTGAGGCAATCTGACAATGTGTTGGAGAGAACTTTGTTGTCAGTACCACATCATTATGAGAGTACAGAGAACGGATCACCCGCAAGGGACTGGCTTCTTTGGGCAAGCAGTCGACAAGTTCACTGCACTGTTTGTCAAATCCCAACAAGCGAATCCCATAGCCATGTGGGGAAGAAATCATTCGCCCATCAGGGCTGAAGCAAAGTTCTTTGATGTAACCCCTGCCTACATTGGCTTCTTCAATGTAATGAGTCAGTCGTAGAGAACAGCGAGGTGAGACAGGTCGCACTGGAGCTCCTTCTTGGAATTCATAGACACAAGTACACTAGGGAGAGAGAAGGGAGACACACCAAGGTTACAGAGCCCAAATAGTGCTACAGATATTCCTTAGTTTTAAAATGCTCAACAGATTGCCAAAGCCACAGAATTGTTACGAGACATCACTCAGAATGTTATCCCCCTCCCAACTAACATACCCCATAAGAAGGCCCCATACCTTCTTATCTTCATAAGCTGAGGTTATTCTGTGCTATGACACTTTAAAGCCTTTTGTTCCCTGAGGCTGCCTGTGACTTCTGTAGAAGTACATTCTCTTTTCTAAGGGCAACAACAATGTTGATATTTTTTAAATTCCTGGAGTAAGACCTAGAGTATCTTACCTCTTCCCCTACACAATTCAAAGGCTCATCTCTTCTCTCCTTTCAGCTGTGGCCTCGAGGGCCTCTTGGAAGACTCTTGTTTTACAAGGTGATGAGAATCAAAGTCATTTAACACCTTTCCCCCTAGCCATCAGTATAGCCCCTTCCTTTCCCAGAGTTTCCCGTTTTTTTGTTTTTTTTTTAAATTATGATCCTCAGTTGGCTTAGTAAAATTTCAAAGTTAGCCAGCTTAGCTGAGACATTTCAGACCTATGTTTATTATACAAGGGTTTGTTGTTGTTTTTAAAGGTGAGATGAAGGAGGCAAAATTTAAGAAGCTGGGCTAAATCCGAGCTGATGCTAGCCTTTAAAGTACTTCCCAGCTTTCTAAACCCTGGCAGAAGTAAGAATAATGATACCATATGAAGCATGAGAGGACAGAAACAGGAGACTCAAGAAGCAGGATCTCTAGCAGTATGCCTTTGATGGCAGAGACTGCAGTCAGTGATCGGCCTAAGGTCTGCACACATGGCAATGGCAATTTGTCCAACGAGCTCTGTTGAAGGTGGAGTGCTGCTGCCTGTACCTCCTCATCATCACTGTTGCTTGAGCACCGAAGAAGAGTGGCCCAGCCTTTTGGGTGCAACTGTAAGGATGTGATGCAGTTTCCATGGTCACTCTCACCAAGAACTTCAGGGGTTACAACTTCAAGACTATTTCGTGGTGACACTCCTGAGATAAAAGAAAATGAGGATGTGGGATTTGTATTATCAAAAAACTAAGTCAGTTCATCAGAGTTATTTCTGGCAGCTAATGCTTTCATTCCTTAGTCTGCCCCTTATGCTACCACATGTTAAAGAGCGTGGTACTCCCCAAGGTATGGTGTGTGAGCTTTGGTGGAAGGGAGGGGGGTGAAGGCGTGGGGAAAGTGTATAAATAGACTGAAAGAATCCAAGTTCCTGCAGCAGGTTTCCTCACTGACCTAAGGCCAAGGCAAAGAAGCTGACTAGGGATTCTTTTATTTGGATCTTATATATCAGAATGCTCTTTATTTAAGTAAGAACCAAAGTAATGTTGACATGAAGGGACTCTAGAAAGGTAAAAGGTAACAATTCTCATCTCATTGTACCTGGTGTTTTCTGGTCCAGAGAAGGAAATACTTGGAAGCCATGAAGATTGCCTTTAAGCAAATAAAAAGATCAGGACTTATGCAAACCCCCCACCCCCCAACAACAGCACTATAAACAAAAAATAAAATTCTGGAGATGAGGAAGGACACCTCACATAAAGGCATGTCAAAACAAGGGATGAGAGACACTGCCAACCGTCTTCCTGGTGACTCTACTATGCCCCTTCATTTCCTTCTACCTAACTCCCAATGAAAATGACTGCTGGAGTAAGCCACTGTTACCAGTGGGAGTATATTATATCCTGTGCTCCTTGGAGGTTCCTCAGGAGCTGGTAAAAGTGGGAAACCATGTGTGAGCTGAGGTGGAGATAGGGTGGGGAAGACTGGAGGTCAAGAGCCTTCCTAAGCTTTCTTTTATATATATATATTTTTTAAAAGCCTACAGCACCCAGTATTTCCAGGCAGTCTCCCATCCAAGTACTAACCAGGCCCAACCCTGCTTAGCTTCCGAGATCAAATGACATCAGGCACGTTCAGGGTGGTATGGCTGTAGACCCTAATTTTTCTTGAACCAGAGCTACTTTAATTTTAATTGGGCTACATCTCAAGAATCCACAGCAGATTTCATGTCAAAAATAGAGTTCTAATGCCGAAATGCATTTGAAAGCCTCTGTTCTATACAGCTATTATATCTGCCAAAGGATACTGTTAACATACTCTGACATTTGAAAATCCAAAATTTCCAACATTTAGAGCAACTTCACCTATAAGCCTCACCTTCTCTCATGTTTTCCCCCTTTTCACCCTCTCATTTTTCTCCTTCTTCCTAGCCTCCTCATATATCATCTCTTCCCTCATTCTCAACTGTGTGTGGCATAGAACTGCTGTACATTTGTGTTTGTGTTTACCACTGGTCAATAATAAGCAAGCATGTTAACTATTCTTTTCTTCTTAAATTAAGGTTCTTTTTCTTGTGGATGGTGTAGTCAATCAATAAAGATTTTTCTCAGTGATTATTAGAAGCCTTGACTTGTTTCCCATAGCACAAGTAGAAGGAGAACAGGAAGAATCTGCAAAAGATGTTTGTGTTACAAATCAAAGAAAAAATGTTATACTTCTGGGCATAAATCTTTAAAAGAAGGAGTCTTTAATCTTAAAGTGAACTATCACAGACTTCAATATCTGTCCACAGATGCAAGTGGACAGGCCATAGGTTAGGTTAGAAAGAGCTCTTAACTCATTCTACTGACATAAGTAGCCATGCAAGATAACCAGCATCTACCAGGCAAAGCCACCCAGTGATTAGAAACACAAATGAGAACTCTATTTAGTCTCTGCCCAAAATATCAAGGTAGAGATATGTCTATCTCCAAAAGTAACCCAAAATGAAAAAAAAGGCCATATCTGGCTCTTAATACTCAGTTCACAGAGAGAAGAATAAACAATAAATGCTATAAGAGCTTAGATGTGGATTAGTTTGAAGAGGAATAGTATGTGGAATTTGTATAGGTAGAAACCATTTCAGTTGTGGGGTGGAAGGTATAGGGCCACAATGGTAAGGAGAAAACTGGGAAATACAGAGTGGGGCCAGATTGTAGCTCAGTTTATCCCACAAACACTTTGAAGCTGTCAGGCATTGCACAGACAAGAAAATGGTAGAGCAAAAAGCCTGAGGGGAACCAGGTGACTTTCACAAGTACCTGACAATTCATGCCTTATATTTATACAGAGCTTTCACATGCATAGTATCATTTAATTTTCACAACAATCTTGATTGAAATAAACATTTCCAAACTACTTCCTCTCCAAACTAAGTCCAGCTAATAAAACCAAAGCTAAAATTCCATTAAAGATTTAACTCAAGATATTCAACTCCAGAGACTCTCGGTTAGCTTTCTGAAGATGATGACTGAGGGATAAATCACCTCATCTCCATTGCTTTTATTTTTATGGATTATAACCAATTTAAAGCCATAAAATTGGTTTTAGTCAGTCAGATTGGCAGAATCTGTTGTTACAAGATTATAAAATCCAACTTTTAACCTACCTTCTCTTTGAGAGGCTCGTGACATGTGTTTCTCAGAAGAATTAGAATCACTATGATGACAAGGTGAGCCAGAAACTCTAGGACCAGAAGAACTTGATGAAGTGGTCAAATCTTAAAAATATAAAAAATTACGACAGTAAACCTAGCATAACTCTGGGAGTGGCTCTTAACTTTTTAATTACTCGAACCATAGTTTTAAAATTTAAAAAATAAATGCTCATATAAAACTGGCCTATAACTAAGACTAAGGAAGGCAAGACAGCTCTTTGAAGTATTCTAAGATCTAGTCCCTTTCTGAATCTTTTATGTCAAAGACTTGACTATATGAAATAAAAATGAAAAAGAAAACAAATAATCATAGGAGCATCTTTGGATCCTCATCATTTCTGTACTAAAATGTGACCAAAAAAAATTCAATGAAAATGAAAACTAAGCTCTTAAACCTATAGTTTAATGTTAAAATAGGGTCCAAACAACAGGTCCATTACCAGAAACATTAAGAGATTCTTCTTTAAGTATACCAAAAACTTCCATTATCATTATTGAAATTATATGAATAGTCTTTTTTTTTTTTTTTTTTTTTTTTTTTTTTTTTGAGACAGAGCTCTTGCTATGTTGTCCAGGCTGGACTCTTAATTCCTAGGTTCAAGTGATCCTTCTGCCTCAGCCTCAGCCTCCTGAGTGGCTGGGCCTACAGACGTGTGCCACTATACCAAGTTTATGTAAATACCTTGAGATGTGACACAAAATTTACATTGAAAAAAATAAAATGAGTATCAGGTAGTGGAATCTGATCTATTACTCAAAATAGCAATCTCTATTTCATCATCACATTTTGCTAGTGGTCCCATGCCTATGTTAGGGATTCATACTAGTCTAATTTCCTGTAACATTATTTAGTGTCAGAATTATCCTCAGAAGACTGAAAACCTGGCAGGGCGCAGTGGCTCACGCCTGTAATCCTAACACTTTGGGGAGGCTGAGGCAGGTGGATCATGAGGTCAAGAGATTTAAGACCATCCTGGCCAACATGGTGAAACCCCATCTCTACTAAAAATACAAAAATTAGTCTTTTTTTTTAAGTGGCTGTAGTCCTAGCTACTCAGGAGGCTGAGGCAGGAGAATCACTTGAACCCGGGAGGTGGAGATTGCAGTGGCCCGAGATCATGTTACTGCACTCCAACCTGGCGACAGAGTGAGACTCTGTCTCAAAAAAATAAAATAAAAATAAAAAACCTTGTGGGTTTTTGAGTTCAAACAGGCCAACTAGACATTCTAAATCACTATTTCTCACTAAGCTAGAGTTTCTTACCTTTTTTAACTTAAAAGGCAAATTTGAATCTAAAAGAATTATACTCATATATTTATGAAATCGCTTGTTTGCAAGTAAGTTGGTAAAACTTAAATTTCTATTTTTACCAGTTACACCAGGCAACTGCAGTACAACAATGTCTGTACTTTCCCAAAGGAATCTTCCGAAGTAGCCCTGTGTACATAGGGAAAGATTCCAACCTTTTTTTTTTTCTTCATTTTCTTTCTTCCTTTTTTTGTTTGTTTCTGGACACAGGGCCTCTCTCTGTTGCCAGGGCTGGAGTGCAGTGGGGCACAATCATGGCTGGCTGCTGCCTCAGCCTAACACGCTCAGGTGATTTCCCCCTGCCCCAGCTTCCTGAATAGATGGGACTATAGAGGCATGCCACCATATATGGCTAACGTTTGTATTTTCTGTAGAGACAGGGTTTCACCATGTTGCCCAGACTAATCACAAATTCCTGGGCTCAAGCAATCTGCCCACCTCAGTCTCCCAAAGTGTTAGGATTACAAGCGTGAGTCACTGCACCTGGCTAAATTTTTAAGTTATTTGTAGAGATGAGGTCTCCCTATGTTGCCCAGGCTAGTCTTGAAATCCTGGGCTCAAGCGCTCCTCCAACCTTGGCCTCCCAAAGTGTTGGGATTACAGGTGTGAGCCCCCGCACCTGGCCACAGCCATATGAAGCTGCCTTTTAGTAAGCAATTTATTAGCAGTCTGTTCCAAATGCTTACGTCTTTTTTCCCCTGGATTTTAAATGATGGGTATGTCTCCAGATCAGTCCCCTCTTTCCCAAAGGTAGATGAAATACAGTCTTTTTAAAAATTACATAATGTTGATAAAATACAAAACTTAAGTTTTTCTGAACCCTAAACTCACTTAAGTCTAACAAAATCCGCAATGGGAGAAGAGACAGAGCTTTAGCAAGAGTGTTTAGAGAGTAATGAGATAAGATGGGACCAGCTGCCTGTGTCTGGACATCTATAAGTCTAGGGTACAGATAGACTTGAAACTAAAACTCTATATTGACCATGACTTAATAAAAGCTCTGCTCCATTCTAGAGGGCTTAAGATCTTGTGCCATTGTGAGTTTTTGACATAGTGATGATTCAAAATTACTGATGAAAAGATCCTGTGGCTAGCATACAGCCAAAGAAAGTATTTTTAGGGTCAGCAGTTATTCCTCCTAGTCCACTTGTAATTCAGAGGTACATACCAATGATATGTCAGAGATACATACAAATCATTATACTTGCTTGGATAAAAAGCCATCACTGAGCTTTCTGAAGAATGCCTAATTGTCTTCCCCTTTTCCTGCTATCATTTTTGGATAAGAAACATATATCGTCTCTATTTTTGAGATTATTGAGAAAAATCTTTTTGGCCAAGAAAGAAAAGCTTACCTGAACTTGAAGTAGTTCTTCTTGCTCTTAAAATGGGATAGCTGCCTACTTCTAAAGACTTGGTTAAGTCAAGGTCATGCAAAATTAAGAGATATCCAGAGGATGTTGAAATCAACATTTTGGAACAATCTGGTGTTAACCTCATTCGCATGAGAAACCGTGTGTGAAAGAATTTCTTATGTGGACACCCATCTTCTGTATACCTACAGGAGAAACCAAGCCAACAAAATCTGGAGTTATCATAAATATAATGGTTCAGTAATAATCACATCTTTTTGTCTTTCAAAATAAAATTTAGGGAGGATGAGGAGAGCTTATCAATGGGTTCAAAGTTACAATTAGGAAGAATAAGTTCTAGGGTAATATATTGCACAGTAGGGTGATAATCGTTAATAGTAAGATACAGTATATTATAAAATAGCTAGAAGAGTGACTGTTACATTTCCTCACCACAAAGGAATGATAAGTGCATGCTAAATACTGTTTTGCTCATTATACAACAGACATGTATCAAAACATCAAGTTGTACCCTATAAATATGTACAGTTACAATGCATCAATTAAAAAATATTTGAGGTTAGGCATGGTGGCTCATGCCTATAACCCCAACACTTTGGGAGGCCAAGGCAGGAAGATTGCTTGAGACTAGGAGTTCAAGACCATCTTGGCCGGGCGCAGTGGCTTCAAGCCTGTAATCCCAGCACTTTGGGAGGCCGAGGCAGGTGGATCACGAGGTCAAGAGATCGAGACCATCCTGGTCAACATAGTGAAACCCCGTCTCTACTAAAAATACAAAAAATTAGCTGGGCATGGTGGCGCGTGCCTGTAATCCCAGCTACTCAGGAGGCTGAGGCAGGAGAATTGCCTGAACCCAGGAGGCGGAGGTTGCGGTGAGCCGAGATCGCGCCATTGCACTCCAGCCTGGGTAACAAGAGCGAAACTCCGTCTCAAAAAAAAAAAAAAAAAAAAAAAAAAAAAAAGACCATCCTAGGCAAGATGGTGAGACCCCATCCCTATAAAAATTTTAAAAATTAAAATAAATTAGCTGGCCGGGCACGGTGGCTCAAGCCTGTAATCCCAGCACTTTGGGAGGCCGAGGCGGGTGGATCACGAGGTTGACAGATCGAGACCATCCTGGTCAACATGGTGAAACCCCGTCTCTACTAAAAATACAAAAAATTAGCTGGGCATGGTGGCACGTGCCTGTAATCCCAGCTACTCGGGAGGCTGAGGCAGAAGAATTGCCTGAACCCAGGAGGCGGAGGTTGCGGTGAGCCGAGATCGCGCCATTGCACTCCAGCCTGGGTAACAAGAGCAAAACTCCGTCTCTAAATAAATAAATAAATAAATAAATAAATAAGCTGAATGTGATGGTGTGTACCTGTAGTTCCAACTACTCAGGAGGCTGAGGTGGGAGGATCACTTGAACCTAAGAGTTTGAGGCTGCAGTGAGCTATGATCATACCACTGCACTCCAGCCTAGGTGACAGACAGATAGACCCTGTCTCTATTAAAAACAAAAATCAAACCTTCAAAAATGAGACATCTTTCCAATATATTTTACTTTTTATGTTAATAATCATTAATATTTAAAATAATACATGTTGTTTTAATTGTGAACTTACAATATTATAATTATTAAATCCAGAAGAAATATAACACTAATAGCCCTGTGGTCACAGAAAACAATTTTTAAAATTAATGTCAGTTTACATGCATATTTTTGATGCAGATAAGAATGATCAGTAGACTGGGTGTGGTGGCTCACACCTACAATCCCAACACTTTAAAGGCTGAGGTTGGAGGATCGATGGAGTCCAGTAGTTCAAGACCAACCTGAGTAACATAGCAAGACTCTGTCTCTACAAAAAATAAAAACTTAGCCGGAGACTAAGGTAGGAGGACGGCTTGAGCCTGGGAAGTGGAGGGTTCAGTGAGCTATGATTGCGCCACTGCACACCAGCCTGAGCATATAGCAGGATATAATTCTATGAAAAAAATATAATGAAAATATGAGTACCAGAAGAAAAAGTTGTAAAACTTTTAGCTGTTAAAAAAATAGAATTTTAAAGTCAATGTATATGTAGATTTACATACATGCTTAACAGTCCTTTTGCTCATCATTCCTTCATTCATCTCCACATTCCTTTTTTGATCTTTTCTTTCTGAAGTGTATCCCTCAGATTTTTCTTTTCTTTTCTTTTTCTTTTTTTTTTTTTTTGAGATAGAGTTTCACCCTTGTTACCCAGGCATTGTGCAATGGTACAATCTCGGCTCACTGCAACCTCTGCCTCCAGGGTTCAAGCGATTCTCCTCCCTTAGCCTCCCAAGTAGCTGGGACTACAGGAATGTGCCACCATTCCCTTGGTAATTTTTGTATTTTTAGTAGATATGGGGCCAGGCTGGTCTCAAACTCCTGACTTCAGTTGATCTACCTGTCTCGTCCTCCTCCCAAAGTGCTGGGATTACAGGCATGAGCGACCATGCCTGGCCAGAATTTTTTAAAGTTAAACTTTGTCCAGGTAAATTATCTCACCTTTTATTGTTCTGAAAATATATATATATATATATATATTTTTTTTTTTTTTTTTTTTTTTTAAGACAGAGTTTCATTCTTGTTGCCCAGGCTGAGTGCAATGGCGCGATCTCGGCTCACTGCAACCTCCACCTACCAGATTTTAATGCTTCTCCTGCCTCAGCCTCCTGAGTAGCTGGGATTACAGGTGCCTACCACCACATCCAGCTAATTTTTTGTGTTTTTAGTAGAGATGGGGTTTCACCATGTTGGCCAGGCTGGTCTCCCAACTCCTGACCTCTGGTGATCTACCACCCTCCCAAAGTGCTGGGATTACAGGCGTGAGCTACCATGCCTGGCCTGTTCTAAAAATCTTTATTTCACACTTTTTTTAAGAGACTGACTTGGTCTCCCTCTGTTGCCCAGGCTGGAGTGCAGTGGCACAATCACAGCTCACTGTAACCTCAAATTCCCAGGCTCGAGGGATCCTCCCACTTCATCCTTTCCAAGTAGCTGGAACTACAGGTGTGCACCACCACTCCTGGCTACTTTTAAAATTTTTTGTAGAGATGAGGTCTTGCTATGTTTTCCAGGCTAGTCTTGAACACCTGGTCTCAAGTGATCCTCCCACTTCAGCCTCTCAAAGTGCTGAGATTATAAGTATGAGCCACTATGTCCAGCTCAACTCAACTGAATAAAAGTTTAGCTGAGCATATAATCTTAGGTTGTTATTTCTTTCTGAATATTTAGGATAATGTTCCACAGGGTTCTAGCTTCCATTGTTACTGTTTGTGAGTCTATTAGTCTGACGTTACTTTGGATAATTTATCTTTTTTACCCCCTCTGGCTAATCTTCTGTCTTTAGAGTACTGCAATTTCATTGGTATATGTAAATTTGGATCTCGGCTTATTTATTTTTACTGGGATTTGTTCGACTTTCCAAGTCTTAAGATTCATATTATTCATATATTCTAAAAGTTTCTCAGTCATTATTCCAATATTGCCTCTCACTGATCTTCTCTCTTCTTTTGGAGCTCCAAATACATGTTTCAGACATTTATGTTGGACTCTCCTTGTCTTACAACTTGCTTTTTCATATTTTCTATCTTTTCATTTCCATATGTTATATTCTAAGTAACTTTTCAATATCTATCTTCTAATAGATTTTCTTCTTCTTCTTTTTTTTTTTTTTTTTTTTTTTTTTTTTTGAGGCAGGGTCTCACTCTGTCACCCAGGCTGGAATGCAGTGGCGTGATTGATCTTGGCTTACTGCAACCTCCGCCTCCCGGGTTCAAATGATTCTCCCGCCTCAGCCTCCCAAGTAACTGGGATTACAGGTGCCTGCCACCACACCTGGCTAATTTTTATATTTTTAGTAAAGACAGGCTTTCACCATGTTGGCCAGGCTAGTATTGAACTTCTATCCTCAAGTAATCCACCTGCCTTGGCCTCCCAAAGTGCTGGGATTACAGGCATGAGCTACTGTGCCCAGGCCGTTTATGCCTTTATTTTAAAATTTGCTTATTGTCTAGGTGCAGTGGCTCATACCTGTAATCCCAGCAATTTGGGAGGCTGAGAGGGGAGAACCACTTGAGCCAAAAATTAGAGACCAGCATGGGCAACATAATGAGATGCTGTCTCTACAAGCAAATTTAAAAGTAGTGAGGCGGAGTGGCATACACCTGTGGTCCCTGCTACTTGAGAGGCTGAGGTAGGAGGATGGCTTGAGCCCAGGAGGTCAAGGTGATAGTAAGCCATGATTGTGCCACTATATTCCAGCCTGAGCAACAGCGTGAGACCCTATCTCAAAAAAAAAAGGGGGGGGGTTTCACCATGTTGGCCAGGCTGGTCTTGAACTCCTAACCTCAAGTGATCTGCCCGCTTTGGCATCCCAAAGTGCTGGGATTATAGGCGAGAGCCACCATGCCAGGCCTAAAAAAAAAATTTAATGGTGTACTTGATGTCTGAAATATTGTAGAATGGCTAAATCAAGCTAATTAATATATATATAACATTACCTCATATGCTTAGCACTTATGATAACACTTTAAAATCTACTTTTAATAAACTTCACTTATATATTATAACAACAGTAAATTGTCATTAACAATGGTCATCATGTGCTACAATATAAATCTCTTGAACTTATTCCTCCTAACTGAAATTTTGTATTTTTTGACCAACATTTCCCCTCTACTGTACTCCACCCACCTTTCCCCAGTCCCGGCTAACCACCATTCTACTATATGCTTCTATGAGTTTTTGACTTTATTAGATTCTATATATAAGTGATATTTGTCTTTCTGAGCCTGGCTTATTTTGCTTAATATAATGTCCTCCAGGCTCATTCATGTTATTGCAAATGATAAAATTTCCTTCTTTTTTAAGGCTGAATAGTATTTCACTGTGTATATTACAACATTTTTAATATATTCATTCATTGATGGATATTTAGGTTAACTCCGTATGTTGGCTATTGTGAATAGTGCTGCAATGAACATGGGAGTGCAGATAACTTTTTAACATAGTGATTTAATCTCCTTTGGATATATACCTAGTAGAAGGATTGTTGGACTTATATGATAGTTCTTTTTTGATTTTTTGAAGAACCTCTACTGTTTTCCATAATTTATATCAAATGGCCTTTGTTAACGCTAACTCTGATAATTTCTCTGAGGAATTTCTAAG